GTTTGCGCGTGACGGTGACCGCCGGACCCCCGGGTGGCCCTGGGGTGGCTTATCTGGAGCTGCCTGCTCTGTCCCTGATATCACGTGTCCCGCAGGCCCTGTGTTTGTTGACATTCCTCCTTCTCCCGTGGATTGGCTCCGGTGGCCTCCACGTCACCCCGAACAGGAGTGCCAGCCGGTCGGTACAGCCTGTTCGCAACGCCTGCCGGGTGCTGTAGTCTGCCCGCGTCACCCTGGCCCCACAGCCCCCCGGGGCTGTGCGACCCGCCGTGTCCCTCTCCGCCGGGGCAGGGGGTTATGGCGAGGGGCTGCGGGGGGCCAGATCCCCGGAAGGTGCTTAATGCCTGGCGTTGTTTTGGCGAGAGGTGGGCATGGAGGGTTTCAGGGTGCTCTGGGAGGGAGGCAAGGCTGCTGGGAATGGGATTGCTGCTTGGAAGCATCTCTCTAGATGAGAGGCCAGCGGTGCGTTGCTCCTGAACCAGTGTTGTGAGCTGGTCTTGTGAAGCAGTGACCACTTTTGGCCTGATGCATGCTGCAGAGTAGCTGGGAGAGCTGGGGAGGTTTCCTCTGGGCACAGGCCACTTGAGGCATTAATCTCCTGTTTTTTTCATTCTCCTTTGTACCTTCTAAGTTCACTTAGTAACTTTAAGTTGAGGGAGTGAGTGAGAGTCTGCTCCCATGCTTCCTCTATAGTTTGCATTTGTATGAAGTGTTATGCTGCTGGATTTGCTTATTGCAGATCTTTCAAAAGCTTTGCTCATGTTCTGTTCCTCACTCTGCTTCAAATAACTGCCTAGTAGGAAGTAGCTCAAAGACATTTCCTGCAAAAGGAGTGATTTCATCACTGTTACGACTGCAGCAATGCATTTTTCTCCTTAGGTGATGGCAAACGAGCTTTGCTTAAATTCTGTGTATAGCAGATAGCCAGAAGCTGTGTAAGAGACCACAAAACAGGAACTTGAGAATGGTCCTGGGCTCAAGGCATGCCCAGGTATATGTTTAGTTACCAGCGTTGTCAGAGACTGCTTGTATGACCTGAGTAATTTGTTTCTTGGACAAAATGAGGTGATTTAAGTGGCACTGAGTTCTGTATAGTGCTATCAGGGTGTGGAGCCTCCTCTGCTGTTCAGTGGTGGGTCATCAGACACAGTCTGATGCAGTCCCCCTGCCTAGGTTGTCTGTGTGGATGTGTCTGAGCATTCAGCCTTGCCCTGTGTCTGCTTAGGAGCTGTACAGGAGTACGTTACCTGCCAAGGCAAAGGTGCAGTTTGGTGGAAGGCTGGCATCTGCCTGCAGTTCCTCACTTTGTGAGAAATACTGCTTATTGCTTGCCTTGCTCCTCCGATACAAGATCGGTTACCTCGCTCATAGCTGCATGTATGTTTACCCTCGAAAGTGTCACAGTTGCAGTTAATTGAGCCCTTGCTTTTAGGCTTTCTAAAAGTGAAGAGGCTTATTCTTGTATTACAGCATCATAGAGGGGAAAAAATACTTCCTGTGAATCTTAATGTTGCCCCGTAGCTTTGCCTATCGTTGCATTTTGTGTTGTGGCTTGCTCTGCACCTCCTGTCAACAGGGACTTCAACTTTTACTCGTGTGTTCCTTACACACAAGGAAATGGTTGCCAAAACCACAGCGGCTGTAAGCAAGTGATTACACCCAATGATGCTTTCGTTTGCGTTTTCCTGGTTAAAAACTAATGCTAACCAGACCTCATACAATTCAAGATTTTTGATGTAATGCCAGATTTGCCCCAGACAGACCCTTGGAGGGCTGATATTTAATAGTGACAGCAACTCTCATCCTGGCACACTTATTTTATCCTTCAAATCCGGGAAAATTGCTGTGTTCCTTCTCATTTCATAGATCTTTGTGATATTGGTTCATAAATAATGACAAAATAAGAAGCTTCCTAGAAATAGATGATACTGGTGAATGTTTAATGCGTAAAAGTACAGTGTCTGGACTTTTATAGATCCCTTCACTGGAGCCCTAAGAGCAGCATCATTACATGAGAATGGCTCGCAAAATGAAATATGCATATTCCCATTATCGTGTGCTCATCTATTAATGAGAGGTGCTGTGAATAGTCTAGGAGCCTAATGTGAGAACCCCTGCACTAAAAGAGGATAAATCATATTGTTTTGCATTTCTAAAAGTACTGTCCATTTAGTGTCTGTATGGAGTTGTGGTGCGGATCTTTCCTAGGCACAGGAGATGTTTGACATAAAGTAAAAACTTTATTCCACCATGTGTGGAGTGCATCAGTTGCTACTGAACAATCCTGGACTCCTCAGCTGGCTTGCAGAGGGGCTGGAGTCGAGGTCTTCAGACTGCAGTAGTCAAGGGGAGTACACTGATTTAGATGGACATCTGGATACCAGAAGTCTTTTTCTCTGAAGGCAGCCAAATAAGCTCTTGTTCCTTAAGGTGGAAGTTAGTGGCAACAAGGATACAAATGGTGATTTCCACTGGATGAGGACTTGGTCTGGAAATGAGTTTTCTTGGAAACTGGGTTTCTAAAACTCTGAGGATTGGCTCAGCTCTTCACACATGTTGACACTGACAGCTTAGCAGCACATGGTCTGATGCATGGGACTTATTTGGTTTCTTTTGTGATTCAGGATGTGGACTCTGAATCTGTGATCAGAGACCGCTTGATTACCTGAGGGGATTCAGTGGTAGGAAGGTAACTCTTGAACTTGTCAGATCCTGGAAGCACTATGTGCTCGACAGCTTCTTCCAGCACTAGTAAGAAGTAGGTTCTTACATGTAACGAAGATGTTTGGGGCAATGGCAGGTCCTGAGTATGCTTGCCTTCCCTGTGCCCTGGGAGGGCTGGTTGAGTATGTGTCAACTGAAGATCTCGCATGTGGCTGTGTTGGTGCTAGGGCAGAAAATCTGCTATTTCTGGACATAAGTCATGCTTTGGATGTTAGAAAGTGTTTTCCTGCATGAAATAGGAAGAAGGATTATTTTACTGGCATGTTTTCCCTAGTTGTGTGCTGTGATCTGAGCTTGCTGCTTAAAGCAGCCTGGCTATGACTGTGCTTGTGTGGATATCAGGTGAGGTGTTTTGGTGTTTTGTTTTTTTCTAATTTTTGCATGGGTGGGTTGGACTGGTTGTAGAAACAAAGCTGTTAATGTCACCCAGGGCACAGTGCTGATTCAGCCTAGGTTACCTAGGGGTCTGCTTTCCATAATTTTGTGTCAATTTAGCTGATTGTACTCATCAGCTTGAGATGAGTTGAGAGTAATGCTTAACTCGTGCAGTACAGACTCACCAAAAATATTTCTACTGGGGTGACTGTATCACCTGGAGCTCCTGGAGGCAAAGAACACGGAGTCCTTGCAGTGCAGTTTTTCTTGTGCACATGGATTAAGGCATGGCTGGCAGAACAAACACTTCTCAGCTTAATCATCAGTCACCCTGGGTTGGTCTTGACAGCCAACTAATGACAGGCTTGTTCGATTATCGTTGTATAGAAAGTCCTTGTGATCAATAGGACCACGGCTGTTGGGCTGTGATGCCCTGTTGTCCTGTCTGCACCATCATCCTTTTCCAACGCGGAGCCTTTAGCTGCCAGTCCACATCTTGTGTACGTGCCTCCTGCTGTCCCCTGGGACCTCTGGAGCTCTGAGTGCGGCAGTGTCCTTTGGTGTGCCCTCCAGCACCGCTCGCTTCTGCTGCAGCGCTCTGCTGCCGAGTGTGATGTCGGATGAATCAGTGTTGCTGCAGTGTCACCTCTTTGCCTCACCACCTCTCGTGCCACCTAATGCAGGATCTTCTGTTCCTCAGGCACTGCTGTTCGGGTGCCCCGTCTTGGGAGACAGGGCTCTGCTGTGACACTTGGAATGACTAAGGAGACACTGTCAGGGAGATCACGCTCCTGAGGTCAGGCTGCCTGCCTGGTTAAATCCTGTTTTAATTCCATCCCCGAGCGAAGCTGGCAGGTTGCCTGGTGAGTGGGTGTAAAGCACAGGCTCCTCTGAACCGCCAAGCAATCCTCTTTCTGTTTGCGCTGCGGACGAGAACGGGGTGTCTGCTGTCCTGCTCCGTCAGCATCCTCGTGTCTGGTGAAGGGAATCATTCTGTTACTGGAGATTGGATCTGGCTTAATTTAGAGCTAGAAGGGGAAAAGGATGGAAAACCCAACCACCCTCTGCCAGTAGTTTTGTAGGATGAG